CCTCTAAACTAACAGCCTGGATCTTACTGGGAATGAGTTGGAGACTCAAAAATGCAGGGAAATTTCAGTGAGAACCCTACTAAATTATGACTTATGTCACGTTTGAAACTCTAAATAACCTGTATCATTCCTGTGATTTTCCAGGAAGAGACATGCAAATTTATTTGTTGTCGCATTTTTTCTTTCTTTTCTTTTTTGCCTCCAACCAAGCACAATTTGATTACACGGTTACATCACTGACTTTCTGGCTCGCAGAAGCTAAAATCTGTTTGCAAAAGTCTTGAAACCACTGCGACTTATGAGCAAGGCCCTAAACTCAAGCAAGGAAACTGAAAAACCCTCACAAAATGTTTAGAGACACTTTGCAAACTGCCAGGCAAATGTTATAGGGTTTGCTCGACTGGGACCACTGTTCACATAGGGGTGGCCCAGAAAATAACTTTTTTAACCCACTTGGAAATTTGCTGAGGMTSTAATCAYGTTTCTTGRTTATTCTCTCATATACTGACACAGGCAGAGACTATCATGTAGACTGGCATCATGAGAATTACTTATTTGAGCAGTTAAGTTGAAATTCTGCATATAGAATTAGCGTCGCCAATATGATACTGGCCAAGCAGGATAGGGTGGCCAAAGATTTTTCTACGATGGTCATGGCCCCCCTAGTCACCCCCTGGCTCTACTGCCCCTGGGCAAATGCCTTCCAAATATTTTCCCTAACAATCAGAGTCCAGTGAGAAACAGGCTTTCCTTAGGTCTGGATCAAAACTGTTAGCCTGGAGTTCAAAGAGCTTGGTCAAGTAAACAACTGATAAACCAGACATTAAATATGTAAAACAGTTTGTCGCTTGTCACTACATTTAAGTCAAAAATTGGGAAATCTTAACGTCCTCTCATGCAGACATCATGTCAATACGTCAGGTCCCAGATGTAGTGAAAAAAACAAACCAAACATAACTTGTGTGGGGAAAGGCTGAGCCTGTAGTGCATATTATTAAAAGCAGACATGAAGTAATAAGTCGAGTTTAGTAGCTCCATCCAAARTAGGCAGGATTATACTGTAAAGGCAGTTTGAAATGCCGTGTGAAGTTCTTTGCACACAGTGGTTGTGCCTTTCAAAAAAAAAAGATGTCTTTGTTAACGCCGCCACTGTTCTCTACTAAAAACCCATGCAGACCAAGCAGAGGGGCCTCAGCTCTGTGTGAGTGTGCGATTCAACACAGGAAGCTGGAGTCACMCAGACAGCTGAATCACAACACTGCCGATGTGTTCTCCCTTCACACACTCGACTCAAAGGTGTACCAGCTCCACATCTGATACACACGCACCACTGATGTGCAACAAAGGCGGATCAGTACTGCGCTAAGGGTGAAAAGCGCCAAAGTTCTWATGTCAGAGTTTCCTGCCTCGAAGATAAAACGCTCGCTTTTGAGTTTGAGTCCAGTTTATTTTCAGTTTCAGTTCAACTCAGTGGTTTCAAGACTCAGTGTTTGTTCCTTTAGATGGCACTGCAGCTGTGCCTGCACGTCAGAGAAACCATGTTCAAAATATTTAAAAAGTATCACCCCATCAACAGATCTGTCGCTCTCATCTGTTCGTCCAGAGATCACCACGGTGCTGCGTCAAAGGATAATTAATTCATATGTTCTGAACCAAAAGCAACTTGCACCGATCCCAGGGTTTGGTTGTATTTTTCTTTTTTGTGGCAAGAAGAACGAGTCAAGTTCATCCCATATGGGCAGTGACCTGTGAGCCTCCTCCCGGCTGGCTGCTCGCCACTCCTAATGTCCGAGAGTCAAATAAGAAGCCCTGCTGTCCTCCGCTGAGCACGCCCAGGCTGTCTGTTAAAGTCCCGTTGGGAGACGAGCCGTGAAAGGGGCTCTGATGACTGGCTGTGGCAGCGGTGGCCATTTTATCGGGGCTGGCAGCGAGGCGGGGCGAGGGGGGGAACGTGTAGCTGTACAGGCTGTACGGTGGCGTGTGGAGGCGGAGCCCCGTGTAACCTTGTGGGGCCGGGTTGGATAGGTAGCCTAGCTGAGCCGCGGGGAGAGTCAGGGAGCAGAATCCTTCCCCGTCGTAAGCAGACGGACCTCTGGGAGGAGGGAACGGCTCGGTGGGGCTGCCGTAGCGGTGGAGGGGGTGCGTGGGTCGGCTGCAGCTGTAGTCCGGCGGGCTGAGAGGGCAGACCTGGAAAGGCGACGAGCATGGAGAGGTGGAGAGCAGATGAGAAGGTGTTCCAACCGCTCCGTGAGCTCCGGGGATTCCTACAAACATAAAAAAAATCATCAGAGAGGTGGTAGTTCAAWTACCTCAAAGGGTTAGGTCAGAACTTTTGAAGTAGGGTTCTGTGGATATTTTATGAACAATCAGTGTCGTACCTGTCATAGATAGCTCTTTGAACAACCTCATTTTGAAGAAAAGTTGTTTAATTGTTTAATTTAATTGTATTTATGAGCTAACAGCTACTCTGAGCAGGGCTGAGACCACAATGAAGAGATAACCTCTTAAAATGCTAAATTAAATATTATTTTTTATAGCAATTCATGCAAATGCTATTTTATAAACCTTTAAAGTGCTGCCAGTTTTCGTTTACATTAACTGCTATAAACTGTTTGAAATTATAGGTGTTTGAAAGTGCCTGTGACATGAATTTCCTTCAAATACAAAAAAAAAAGTCAAAGAAAACATCTTTATAYTTWGGAAACTTGACATAATWCAAAATTTGACCCATTTTGTCACATAACTGCCATGTTTTCTTTTGTGTTGGGCTCAGCCAAAGTGAAACAGGAAGTGAMACTAAAGGGGAACACTTTAAGAAAAGGAACTCCGTGATGTTTTTATTGAAACAATATTATTTGCGACTCAAAATAATCTAAAGCGACATCAGATTCTTCTGTGTTGTTAGCCRTTGTAGCAAAGCTCTGTTCACATGCAGAAATTTCCCCTTTGACATCACTTCCTGTCACGTCACATCCAAATATCTCAACAGCTGTTCATCTCAGCATCATGACTTTTATTTTTCTTGCAATAAGTTGTCAATGTTATCGTTACAAAATGCATACTTTTTTATATAAAAATAGCATGTCACAGGCAGCTAACAACTTTGTTCTTGGTCCTGCCCTGAGTAGCCGTTAGCCCTTTAGCCCACTTAAAATTAAACTTGGTTTCTTCAAACTAAAAAAACAGATACAATAATGTTTGTTCATAAACTTTCTACTGAACCCCGTGTTATGAGATCTCAGAGAACTGATTTTTATATCTTTACCTTGCTTGCCCATGCCAGGAATATCCTCAAACGTGAGCGTTCGGAGAGATGGACGCCAGAACGCGTAAGATTCCACCAACGCTTCCAAACCCATCCTGCGAAACACATAAACACACATTCTCACTCGCAAATCCATCCTGCAAGCTCCCAGCATGCCTCACGGCATCGTGCCAACCGCCTGGCGGCCATCTTAAGGCCACCGTTGGCATCTCTATGGAGACGATAAGTAATGAGGAGCATAAACGCCAACGCTGCGATTGGCCGCTGCCGCCGGGGTGCTTGGAGGTAATTGCTTTCACACGGCTTTTACGGGCGAATCAAGACGAAGGAGCAGGAAGCCGCAGCAGCGATTTATGAGGTGAGACTCCCCTTCCCCGCCTCTCATTTTGAGTCCCCCCCACACACCCTCTTCTAGGTGGGGCGGAGGGTTTGCTGTGGCGGTGTAACGCGAGTGCTCTGTTACCGCTCATTAGCATGAAGATAAAAGTCCTCTCCCCCCGGTGATAATTTAGACAAGCTGCCCGGAGGGGTTCTGTGTGCTCCAAAGCAGCCTATCAGAGCCGAAGTTTATTTAGCAAACTGCTTCACTCTTCCTGTAATATTTAAGAGGAGAGTTTTTCTTCTCTTTTTTTCAGCCTTCCTGGTTTCAACTTTTATAGGGTCAGCTGTCGAGGTCTCTCGTTGTTTTCTACCTTCCACCCTCTGAAATGTTCTCCTTCTCCTCCTCTCTAACGATTTCTGCGAGGCCTCAGGGGAGTGGCTGTTTGCAGACTGCTGGAGTTTTACTGYCGTGTTGGTTTAATGCTGTGTTTATATACGTTTCGAAATGTGTTTATACAGATTTTCCTTGGGATGCTCTTGATTCGATTATTTCACTGCTGATGTTGAGGTCGGCTGGAACTGGATGCTTCGTTAGAATCGTGTCAAACCAGATCGCATTTACACCATTACTGGCTAATTGTGCAACATATTTTTCAGTTAGGACGAAATGGATGCAAAGCTTGCTGCAGGCTTTTCATCAGAAGTGAATAAGCAAAGGTATTTTATGTGTCTGTGTGTGTGTTTGTGTGTGTGTGTGTGTGTGTGTGTGTGTGTGTGTGTGTGTGTGTGTGTGTGTGTGTGTGTGTGT